AGACAGTTGATTAGCATGAACTCTTTAGGAGGCTCCCAGGCAGTGAGAATGGGACCTGTCCTTAGTGCATAAGCCGGCTTTTTGGAACCTAGTGCCTATGCTGAGACACTTTCCTCAGCCTTGGTGCAGGCTCTGCTGACTCCCTAGGGGAGACCTTGCCTTGGAGAAGGAGGGAATGGGGGAGTAGGTGTGGGGGGAAGGCTAGGGGTGGGAGGAGGGAGGACAGGGGAATCCGTGGTTGATATGTAAAACGAATAGAAAAACTCTTAATAAAAAACAAAACAAAAACCACTGTGGTAGAGTTTGGGTACTCTTGAAAAGGAGGAGGAGAAGGAGGAGGAGAAAGGAGTGTAGGACCCAGAGGGGTCAAGGACACCACAGGAAGACTCACACAATCAACTAACTTGGGCTCATAGGGACTTGCAGTAACTGAATAGACAATCAGATAGCCTGAATGGGACTGACTTAGGCACTCTGCATATATGTTACAGTAGTGTAGCTCCATCCTCTTGTAGGAGTTCTAACAGCAGGAAAAGGGGTTGTCTTGCACACTTTTAATGGCTTTTGGGACCCTAATCCTGTAGCACAAATTTTAAAAGGTCTTAATAAAATCAAACCTGAATCCAAGTATTGGGGTGAATGCTGGAAGATCAGAGAAGCAGAACAAGCTACAAACACCTCACCTTGCCAGTTCCTCAGCTGATCTTGTTTCCTCAGACTGGAAACCTCTGTGTCCTCATCCCAATTGATCTCAGTGAACTGCTGCTCAAAAGCCTATAAGCTTAACCAGACTCTTGTTTCTGGTTTTTATACCTTATATACCTTTCTGCTTCTGGTCATCACTTCCTGGGATTAAAGGTGTGTGTCACCATGCCTGGCTGTTTCCAGTGTGGCTTTGAACTCACAGAGATCCTCATGGATCTCTGCCTCCAGAATGCTAGGATGAAAAGTGTGTGTGCCACCATTTTTTGGCCTCTATGTCTTTCTAGTGTCTGTTCTGTTCTCTGATCCCAGATAAGTTTATTAAGGTGCACAATATGTTGGGGGACACAATATCACCATATAATTCTCATACTGGGTCGCCTTGCCCAGCCTTAATACATGGAGAGGTGCTTCGTCTTACTTCAACTTGATATACTGTGTTTTTATTGATACTCCTGGGAGACCTGTCCTTTCCTGAATGGAAACAGACAAGGAGGTTGGGGGTTGGGAGTGAGGAGGATAAAGGGGAATGGCAGAGGAGGATTTCGGGGGAGGCTGTGGCCAGGATGTAAAGTAAACAGATGAAAATGAATAAATAAATAAATAAATAAATAAATAAATAAATAAATAAATAAATAAATAAATAAATAAATAAATAAATAAATAAATGAATAGTGAAAGTGAGAAGCAGTTCCACCAAGTCTCCACACATGTGCTGTGAGACACAAGTCTCCCATCCAAATAAACACACAGAAAATAATGAAGTGTTTTAAGGATTGTTATGATCTCTCATGATTGTTTGTGAATAAATTATATTTTATTATGAAAGCTGTGTTTCTTTTTGAGTGATAACTGCATATTTATCACACACTATTAGTATAACATTAAAGATTATTATCATTAAGCTGTAGCTGTATTGGATATGCATCTATGATCTGTTAGGTGAGTGGCATGGTGTGGTACTATGAGATAACTGAGTAGAGTGTAATAGTTCCTAAGAACTTATTAATCTTTGTTTATTAATCACGTTTAATATTTTGGAGGGGACATTGGAAAAGGAAATGATTCCTTTCACTTTCAGAATTCTATTTCCCCTTGATGCCTGATATCTGGTTGATTTTTATAACTTACTTTTTAATAACTTCCAGTTAAAATTATGTTTTAAAGTATATATAGTATGCATACATACTGTATATAGGTATGCATATATTGTAATATCCTGATAAGAGCAGCCATTTTTTGCCCTCAATTCTTTGTGGTGAGAACCTAAATTTCTTTCTTGCATTTTGAAACATAAAACACATTAGTATATCTCGCTGTGGTTCAGTGCTATGGGCTAAACTTTGTTTGTCCCTCTCTCCCTACACCCTTCTCCGCTACATCTAGTAACCAGCAATCTACTGGCAGCTTCTTTAAGGTCAAACATTTTAGATTCATATGCAAAAGAAGTCATGGAATACTTCTCCTTCATTACCTGGTTCATTTTGCTTATCCCAGTGGCTTCCAGTTTCATCCCTACTGTCACAGATGGTAGGATTGTATCTTTCTTATAAATGATTATTATTTAATTGAGTGTTTTGTGGCATTTCTTTATGTTCTCAGCCTTCATGGAATATTGGTTACACAGCCATGTCACCAAAACATGTGTGTAAGAATGATTTGTTCAGGAGAAATGGCTCTGTGTTTATGAGTACCCACTGGGTACTCTTGCACTATCTGTAACTCCAGTAACTCCAGTTCCAAGGAAAACATTGCCCGCTTCTGGCCTCGACATGCACTGTACCCATAGGAAACACAAAAACACATGCAGGTACACAGTAATAGACATAAAATCTAAAAGAACAAATCTTTCAAATGAGAAAGATTTGCTCTAAGTCACATTTCAGTGCATTTCTTAATTAAAAATATTTTTAGGGATAGTCAAAAATGTATACACACACGCATACACACATACATGTATATATGTATACATACATAAAACACACACATGTATATGTATATATATATATATATATATCCTTCTCTTATAAATGAATTTCATACTGTTCACAAGATACATGGATAAAGAAAAATGACCTACATGGCTTAGAAAAAAAAACAGAT